TTGGAAAAATAAGGTCGCCTTGAGGGCTGGCTGTTTGGGAGATCAAAATATATATTCACCGGCATATTTTCCGCACATATGTGGAGGATTCGCTGACCCCGTCCCAGCCTACGCGCGCACGCCGAGAAACGGAGAGAGAGAGAGAGAGAGAGAGAGAGAGAGAGAGAGAGAACGGCCCCGAGGGAATACCGACCCAAGACGGTTCGTCGAAGGACCGAAGAGAATACACACTGAGCTGCCGACGGACACCCTCGGAGTTAAGGACTATGCCAGGATCGCGCACCCCGAAACCCGGCCCGCCCCCCCCCCCCCCCCCCCGGGGGGCGAGGGGCCGGGGGCGGGAGAGCAACTGCAACACGCGTGCACACCCACGCCACTCCTTCAGCGCCCGGATTTGGGACCGCCCTTCCTGCAACAGGATCTGCATGTGGGGGGGTTGCAGTTGACCAGGATCTTGCCAATGAGGGGCAGAGACCGCCCTCGCGCCTCCCTTCCGCCGCCCCCCCCCCCCCCCCCCCGCTCGCAGACCCTCACACAAGTACAGACGCCCCGAGGAGCGGACTGACTACTCGGTGGCCAGCGAAAGGGCGCAAAGCTTGGCCCCGGCGCCCCTGGGGGGAGGGACCCCGGGCCAAATGGGGTGCAGGCGAGACGCAGGCATGCCAGCACAGGCATGCAGGCACAGGCATGCCGGCGCCGATTAGCACGCACCATGCATCGCCACCGCACCAGCAATGGTCCCCGGTTGGGGGAAATATCCCGGCGAGTGAACACTCTTCGGGCATGGCACAGCGCTCCCGCCCTCCCCCCTTTTCCCCTCGCATTCCCCAACCGCCCCCCCCCCCTCCCCCCCGGCAGCTCCGAACAGCAAAGGGGGAAGATAGGGAAGAAGATAAATTCACACAAGGACATGGCACAAGGGGGCGAAAGCCCCGGGGTGCAGAGGGGACGAGAGGGGCAGAGGGGTTGGGGCTCGTGGCGAGGCCGACCAAACGCCAGCACCATGCAAAGCGCCGATGGGTGCCATGCTAGGTCAGCGGTTAACACCTCGCGCCAGGACGGCGAGGGAGGGCAGCCCCGGAAGTAGGGGGGGGGGGGGGGACACACTCCCGCTCGCACCCTATCGCCGGTCGCCGAAGAAGGAGGCCCCACCGCCCCCGGACACGAAGGACGAAGCCCCCGAGGGGCCCGGCCGCTGGAACGACCCACCCCCTTGACCGTCCCAATGTGACGAGAGCGACGTCAGGCCGGAGAGGCGTCGCGAAACGAAGCCCCCAAGGGAGGATGCACTCGCACCAGCGCCGGCCGCCCCGGCAGCCGACCCGCCGCCGCCGCCGCCGCCGCCGCTTGGGCCATTCGACCCATGGAGCGAGTCGCCACCCGGCCGGAGAACAGCTCGCGAAGCGAACACGGCATTTGGCGGTGTCAGGGAGGAAGCACGCGAGCGGGGCATGAGCACGTGGGACAAGCGCCGACCGGCCGGCTGCTCCGAAGCCGATGGGCCCCCAGCCGGGGGGGGCGTTAGCGGCGATTCCAGCCCCCGAACAAGGCGCAGTTCATCCTGCGCCGCCCGCAGGCCGAAGCTCAGGCGCTGCACTCGGCTCGATGCCGATGCCAATGTCGATGACCGGCCAGGCGTCCCGGCTGCCGGGCCTGGGGCATTCGCGGCCGCGGCCCGGGGAAAGACCGGGCCATCGGCCACAGTCGCCGAGACGGCCGAGGCTACTGCCGTCCCGCCGGCAGAGCCAGACGCGCTGGCAGATGCACCCGCCGAAGGAGTGCGCTCCAATGGGGCCGGGCGGCTCCGGCTATCCGCCAGTCGCAGGGCTTGCGTGGCCTTCGACGCACGCAGGGCCAACGACGAAAGGGCAGCATTGCGCGTGCGTCCACGCGGCCCCGGGGCCGATTCATCATCCGGCCCATTGGCCGATGTCGATAGGTCCTGCTTTAATGGTGACACCTTGACCGCGGCACCGGCCGCCGGTGACAGGGGGAATGTCTCCAATGGGACAGTACCGGTGACAATGCCGGTGCCAGTGCCGGTGCCGGTGCCGGTGCCGGTGCCAGTGCCCGAGCTCGAGCCGGAGTCGATGCTGGCCAGCCGGGCCGGGCCATTCCGACCAGCAGGCGGCCGCCTCGCGCTACGGCTCGGGGTGCTTGGCGTGCTGGGGCTTGCGCTGCTGTCGTTTTTGATGCTCGCGCCGGAATTGGCGTTGGTCTTCCTGCTGCGGCTGCCGATGCTTCGGCTGCCGCTGGTATTGTGAAGGGAGGGCTTTTTGGTGGCGGCCGAGTCCACCGCGTTCAGGGACGAGGCGAGCTCCCCCGCCACGGCGGCAACAGCCAGGACTCGAGCCGAGTCGGGACCATCGGACGCCCATGGCGGGCTGATGTCGCTCAAGGTGGGCAGCTCTTCGGTGGAGGCCATCCCATCGAAGCAGGACATCGTCTCATCGGCAAGCAAGTCCACGGCACTGGAAGGCAGGCGGATGGCAGGGAGCGAGCAAGAGCCCGGGGACGGGAGGAAGAGCGCATGCAAGTGAGTGGCACTGAGGTGGAAGCGGGTGGCAAGCCGGATGGGAGGAGGACGCACAGTGCGGTTTCCGCCAGGCCAGATGGCCCGGCCACCGGCGTCATGGCAGCCATTGCCACAACAGACGCGGGATCCGCCTCGATAGAGGCCGCGGGAGCAGCGCCAGCAGCGGCAGCAGCAGTAGCAGCAGCAGCAGCAGCAGCAGCAGCAGCAACACTGATGGTGCTGATGTCCGCCGTCGCGATCGAGGCGCGCTGCTCGCCACCCTGAAGGTTCATCTGGATCAGCTGCGACACCAGCCCTGACTGCTTGGAGAAGAGGCCCTGGTTGTGGCGAAGCTGCTCATGCAACATGAATGCATAGAGCTCGGAATTCCGGACATCGAGTTGCGCCCGTAGGAGGGTCGCATCGATTGATGCGCCGATGTCGGCCGCTGGTCCCAAGGCCCGCAGGTGGCCAGCCAGCAGCTCATCCATGCGCAGCTCCAATGCCGTGATGTCCCCATGCAGACGTTGCAGCTTGGCAGATACCTCATCGACTGGATGTGGATCAGTCACATACACGCGGATGGGCAGCCCAGACCAGTGCGAGAAGAGGAGCGCCGTGTAAAAACAAGAGAGAGAGAGAGAGAGAAAGAGGGATGCGGCAGAGCAAGGCGTCAGAAGCAGGACCATGGGATGCCGGATGAAAAGACAGGCCACTGACCTGATGCACTACAGTCAAGCCCCGCCGTCAGGACATCACCATCATCCAGGCATGTTGTGATCAAATCCCGGAGACGCTGCTGCGCCTGGTCCAGGCCAAGCCCCGGGCGAAGGGTCGAATCCAGTCCCGACGACTGGCACACCCAGCGGGCATGCTTGAGCTGGTTCTCCACGCTCTGCAGGCGAATGGCCTCGGTCATCAGGGCACGCTTCTGCTCGCACAGCGGCTCCAGCTCGCTGGCGAAGACATCAACCAGGGACCGGGCCTTGGCGGCCAGGTCAGCTGCGGTGGGGGCGGGCTCCGTCATTGGAGCGAGCTCCGGCGCCACTTGCGTGTGGAGACGCCTGGCCCCGCCCCGCGCCCCCGGGGGAGAGGACAAACGAAGAGAATGGGCCAGGGAGTGAGTGGACAGGGAAAAGGCCAACGAGAGCGGGACACGCTATGATGGCCATCGGGCACTTGCGCGAGCATGTGCACATACTGGTTGGCCTCCTTCAGCTTGGAGTCTCGGTCGGCCAGGCGCCCGCGTAGTTCCTGAAGCTCATCCTGCAACTGGCGGATGATGTTCGTGTACTGCGTGACATGGTGCTCCACGCTCAGGACCGTGCGCGAGACAGACAACTTGATCTCCTTCGCGCGGTTGGCGTATTTCAGCGTGTTGTAGGTGTCCTCATAGTGCAGGTCCGAGGGAGACACATTGGCAATCATGACTGTCTTGCAATTGCCCCCGAGCGAATCTATGGCCGGCCCCGGCACCAAGCAAGGCAAGACCGCCCGGAGGAAGGGTGTGCGTGCGAGTGCACGCAAAAGCCCGGAAGAAGGAGAGAGGGAGGGAGAGAGAGAGAGGGGGGGGAGAGAGAAAGAGGGACCAGGAACCAGGAGCAGGGGAACATTAGCCCGGACACACGCCCTTGCGGCCAGGGGGGAAAAAAAAAAGAGGACAAAGGAGCCCAGCATGCGGTGGACGTACCCTTCAACAGCCGAGTCAGCTTCGAGTCGCGATAGGGAACATGCTTCGTCGTGCCCGACACCGACGCATCACCCAGGGCATTGATGCAGTTGGCCAGGGCCAGCAGCGAGCGATTGATGTTGGCACCCTCCTGGAACCGGTCGCCGGAGTTGGTGGTGGCCGAGGCGCGCTCCGATCCGGCCAAATCGATGAGGGATAGCTTGGACAGCTGGATGGACGTGTGCAAGCCGCTGATGCGCGGCTGCTGCCGGAGGCGAATTTGCAGCACCGCATGCGATCGCGAGGAGGTGGCATTGGCGCAGGTGGGCGACATGGTGCGGTTCTGGTGGCCGAGCCCCAGCAGTGCCAGCACCTCAGCCGCATTGGTGGGGCTATGCTCGGTCAGCCCGGCGATGGTGATCTCGCCGTCAGGCTGCTCCCGCGCATCCAGCGACTGGGGCCGCGTGCCAAGTGGAACCAGCAGATCGCGAATGGTTTCATTGTACACCTCCAGCATGCTGATGGTCACTTCGATGGCCCGGTCATCGCGGAGCTGCTCGATCCGCTCGAAAAGCTCCTCCATGGTGAACATCATGACCCCGGGAACCCCATCGTACCCGAGCATGGTGTAGGTCTTCCCGGCTCCCGTGGCGCCGTACGCGAAGACCGAGCAGTTGAAGCCCTTCTCCAGCACAGCCGCCACCAGGGGCTTGGTTGTGGCCTCATACACGGCAGCTTGACTGGCCTCCGGGCCGAACACCCGGTCGAAGGCAAAGCGTAGGTCGCGAAAGCGCCGCTCTCCGGGCACCGGCGGGCGGCCGGACTGGCTGGCTGTCCCGGGTGGTGGCGCGTCGAAGGAGACAATATGATCATCGAGCACCTGGCCCATTTCGAGGAGAGCGCGGACACAGGAAAGGGGCAGGGGGGAGGGAGGGGGGAAACACGAAGGTGTAAGGCCAGTCGGAAGAGGGTGGAGGCAAGAACGGAGACCCCACAAAAGAATGGGGTCCGGCATCTGGAGGGCGCACTTGAACTGTGTTGGTGGCACGGCCAGACTGGACTTCGGCCGAGTTGGGCGGGCGCACGCGCACCGCCACGGTGACACTGCTTTCTGCCGGGGAGGATGACTTTGCTCCGCCGAGCCCGGGAAAGAGACTCGGCGTGGAGGTGGCAATCGACGCCCGGCCGCTGATGTACCGCGAGGCGGCCAGTCCGGGAGCTCGTGGTGCCAGGATCTCCCCGAGCGTGGGGACCGCCGGCAAGGGGAGCCCGGCCATTGCGCGACAGGGCACGGCTCAGGAGAGGAAGGATGGGAAGGCGATTGGAGAAAGGGGAGGAGGGCGGGGAAATCGGGAGGCAAGATGAGGTCGAAGGAGAGGGGGAGAGAGAGCGAGAGAGAGAGGGAGGGAAGGCGAGAGAGAGAGAGCGAGCGAGCGAGCAACTGGAGGTCAAATGCAGGACAGGGGGGAAGAGAGGTAGCCGGCTGTGTTAGACGAGAGTAGTCAGACAGCCGGCCCAAAAAAAAAAAAAAGCACGGGTACACCCTCGCCGGGGTCCATCTGGGGACCCCGGGGCCGGACCAGATGCCTGGAGGAATGCCAGGCACTGGGCCCAGCCCGAGGCCGATCTCGCCGGCCGTTTTCGCTCGACGGTGTCCCACCCGATCTTGGTCTCCCCGCGTGCGCACGAAGGTCCCAGGCCGCCATGCCGCCAAAAGGAAAGAGACCCACGCCCACCGGGGGGGGGGGGGGGGGGCACTCACGGTCATCATCTGGAATCCTCCGCCGCACGGGTGGGCCAAGCCCACACAGCCCCGCCCGCTGTCTGTCTTCTGTAAAGAGACCCACGCCCACGGGGGGGGGGGGGGGGGTTGGGATGTGGGGCCAGACAGGGAGGGAACACCAGGCAGCAGGACAGCAGAAAGGATGGCATCAAAATCACACACACACACACACACGCACACAGCGACACCCCAGGAAGGGGGAACAAAGGAAAACACACAGGGCCAGAGAGGGACCAAGGAAAGGGATATGCAACAACAGCGGGAAATCTATTTCAAGAGAAGCGCCCCGTTGGCATCTTGCCACAACGGCCGCGACATGTGCCGACGCATTCGCCAGATCGCTGGGAGCGTTGGTGCTTCGCGTCTGCGCGTTCACGCCCTCGGAGCGGCCGCCGGGGCGGCGGCCTCCGGCAGCAGGGCATCCGCCGCGGCCAGCAGCCGGGCCAGGACCTTGTCCAGGTGGTGCTTCTGCGTCTGGGGCGAGCCGATCGACATGCGCAGGGTCACCTGGCCATTGAAGCGCCCGGTCATGATGTAAATCGGGTCCTGGCGGTCGTCCTCGGTGGACGCCTTGCCCGCCGGGCGGGCTGCTTGGTTTTCCTGGGCATTGGGGTAGCACAGGCGATTGACCACGCCCAGGTGGAACTGGTCATCCTGACCGACAAAGCGGAAGTTCAGGACCGACAGTGTCCGGCCGGGGGCCATCTCCAACTGGACCGGCAGGCCGGCCGGGGTCTGGCGCACGGCCAGCAGGTCCTCCTCCAGGCCCCGAGCGAGCTCGACATGCTGTGCAGCGGGGCGGGGCACGGGTGCGGGAGGGGGGAGATCCGGAAGAAAGAGAGGGGGGGGGGAGGGGGGCGTTTTGGTGCAGGCCCGACAAGTGTCAGTACCTCAAGAAAGGAGAACAAGGTGGAGGAAAGGCGGAGGCTCAAGCCCAAGGGAAGAACTCCATCGCCAAGGCCCGGGGAGGAGCACGCACCCGACGGATGTGCTGCTTGAGGCCCTCGACGCCATAGGCGCGCATGGTGAACCAGAGCTTCAGGCTGCGGAAGCGCCGGCCCAGGGGGATCTGCCAGTTCCGGTACTCTTCCACCCGACCCGACACCGGAGCCTGGGAGTGGTTGGGCGAGGTGCGCTTCACGGCCGAGTAGTAGTGCCGCTCGATCGACAGGGCATTCAGGAGGTCTTGCTTGCGCTCCACCCAGAAGACCGTGCAATCGAAGTTCACCAGCATCCACTTGTGGGGATTGATGGCCAGCGACTGGACCCGGGCCAGGGCGGCGTGCTGCAGGCCGTCGCGGAACTCCTCGCAGGCCAGCGCCGACCCGGCGTACGCACCGTCCACGTGCAGCCAGATGCCATACTTCTCGGCTGGGTAAGGGAGCCGGCAAGGAAGCTGTCATTAGAGGGCCGCCGAGGGGGGAAGGGGAAAGCAACGAGGAGGAGGGAAGACGCCTTGGCGAGGGTGGAAACAGAGGACCGGGGGCCTGGCGAACGCACCGACATCAGCCAGACCACCAATATCGTCGATGGCCACGGTGTTCGTGGTTCCGATGGTCCCACACACGTAGAAGGGAATCAACCCCTCGGCCAGATCGGTCTGCAAGCCACACCACCAATGGGAGAGCGCACAGTGGCCACTGTTAGTGGCCAGCCAAGGCCCGGGGCAGATGAAGATGCGCCGGGAGGAAAAAAACGAGGATGCCGCCTGCCCCCCCCCCCCCCCCCGGCCCTGCCCTCCTGCTTGGGGAACATGCCTCGATCTGGGCGATCAGCGCCGCAATGGACACACGGTGGGTGTCCTCGCAAGCGTCCACCAGGCGAATGCGCATGGAGATCACCTGCGCGGCCTTTTGAATTGACGAGTGTGCCTGAACCGAGGTGTAGCACACCATGCGCGAGAGCAGCGGCGCCGCCAGGACCTGGACCTGCTCTTCGCTCAGGTTGTTGATCTCCTCCAGCGTGTGCGGGGGAATGCCGTGCTGTGCACACAGGCTCTCCGACGAGAGGATGGCTCGGATCTTGCGTTCGCGGGCGGCGATCATGGCCACCAGCGAGGCCTCACTGGCGGACCCCTGAATTACACCGCCACCAACACCGGACTCGGAGAGGAACTTCGGCGCCAGGCCCATGATCTGCGCCATCCAGTCCAGCGTGATGGGCTCAAGCTCGGTGCACGCGGGCGAGGCGATCTATAGCGCAAACGTGTCGGCGCATATAAGTGAAGGCGTCCGTGTATGTGCGTGCGTGCGTGCGTGCGTGCGTGCGTGCGTGCGTGCGTGCGTGCGTGCGTGCGTGCGTGCGTGCGTGCGTGCGTGCGTGCGTGCGTGCGTG